CACCACTATCCCCAGCGTATGCCAGCCTGGCAGCAGTTCCCTCAATGTGCTGCCATCACCCCACAGACGCACCCCCACACTGTTTACTAAACACCAATGACTCACAAAGAGGGCAAAGCTGACCCTCAGGCCAGAAGACAGATAGGAGGCCTAGGGGAGCCCTGGGCCTCCTCCTTCAGGACTGCATGGTGGCCACCCTCTCATCTATTTTCTCACTCCTTTCACCAACAGGAATGCAGCTGGACCAACGCTGAGCCAACTCAGGGCTTCCCAGAGTCCATCCACCCGAAAGCCCCCTCCTATCCTCATACCTTCCTTGGTGGGGAGGTGAGCCTGACCAGGGGGCAGGCAGCACAGCCGGTGTCTGGTGACCTGCAGGCCCCTGGTGGGGGTCTTCTTCTGAACAGGGCCGCTCCTCCCCCGGAGGGCCTGCCTCCTCCGCAAGCTGAACTGGCTCTTAGCAGCGGCAGCTGGTGGGGGGCTGCTCTTCTTTTCCCCAGGAAGGCTGTGGAGACAAAGAGCTGGCAGCTCAACAGGCCCTCCCCCCGTGGATGGCTCCCCTATCCTCTCTGGCCCACTCAGATCCCAGCACCATGGAATCACCATGAAATCAGCCCCAGGAGGCTGCCGACTGAGCCCCATGGGTTCCGGTCCTGATTGCTTGGCATTCCCACCTAATCAGCAGCAGCAGGTCTGCCGGCTCCTAGCCATGTTGGGGACAATCCAAGGATCCCTGAGCCAGGGCAGATGGAGAGCAGAGAGTGGCCCAGCCCTTAACCCCTACCTGGTCTGTCTCCTCTATCTCCCCAGGCCCAATAAGCCCCCAGTGGAGCTGGGGTGGGAAAAAAGGAGACGGGATGTCCAGAGGAAAAGCTGCCATAAGCATCCCCAGCCTTCTCCGCAGAAGGGGCTACTCACACAGCTCCCTGTCTGTCCATCCTGAAATGGAAGCCACCATCCAGAAAAAGATGGGGTCATCCAGACATGGACAGCAGGGTCAAAGACCAAGGTCAGGCAGCAGGAAGGACCTACAGAGGAGCACTCACAGTGAGGATGGGGCATGCTGCCATGTCTGATGGCAGAGATAGGCCCTCTGACCTTGCCAGCAGTAGCTACCTCAAATAAGTCCCTGACCCCAGACCATGCACCAGGCCAAGGTGCCATCTTTGAGCCACCTCACAATCCACAAGGGTGGAAGCTGGGGTGGGGGGGAACTTGTAGTCACAAAGCCACCATGGAGCAGCCTTCCTCCCTGGTGGAGAGGCAGCTCCTCCTGCACGTCTCATCCTTACTAACAAAGTTCCTCAACCAGGTGGTACTTCACTTCCTCCTCCCACACCCCTGCAGGAGGGCCCTCCCACTGGCTCTGCATACCAAGGAGGGAGGGTGCAGGCCCAGCCCCACTCTGCCTGCCCACACAGGACCCTGGGGTGGTAGCTGAGACACATACTTAGCATTCCCCCGCCTCTTAATGATCTTGGTGCGGCTTTTCACTTTATAAGCCGAGAGCCCTGGGGTCTCACTGAAGAGGGGCTTCAAGCCACTGGGTCCTACTGCTGGTTTGTCCCCAGGGGGGGACCTAGATGGGACTGGAGAAAGCTGGGAGACACGGTCCTTGCTGCAAGCCTCTGATTGCCAACGGAAGGAGGAAGAGGAGGAGGCCGAGGGGCTGGAGGCCTTCCATTTGTACTTGCTGGAGGTGGCCCCGAGTGTGGAGGACATGGCCGACTTCTTGAGCTTGGCGTCTGGGTTGGCTCTGGGCTGCTGCTTCTCCACTCGCTCTGCTGTACACACATTCTCGGCAGCTGCTCTGGGACTGAGAGCCCTCCGAGAGGCCCGAGGACTCTTCGTCGAAGCAGCCACCCATTTGTAGTTGTTTTTCTGGAACTTGTTGGTTCGACAGGACATAAGCAGTGAGGTCTCCTGGGCCATTCTAGGTCTGGAAACTGATCTAGCTGGGCCTGCCACGGAGCCAGAGGGAGCTGGATGATCTGGGCGGACAGAATCTGCTCTTCCATCCCCGAGGGGCTGTGCAGCACAGCTGGTCACAGGGTAAGAGCCCACCTTCCCAGCCAGAGCCGTGCCACTGCGCTGGGGCAGGGTGGAAGACAGGAAGCGTGTCTTGACAGAAATTGCACTCTCACTGACCGTCCGCCGGGACTCTGAGGGACTGTCACTCAAGCTGCTCACAGACTTCACCACCCGGGGCTTGCCAGCCTCCTTCTGGCAAACCAGTTGGGGGTCCTCTGTGCTGCATATCCCCTTGGCTCTTCCAGGCTTAGAGGGCTGCCACTGCCCACCAGGGGGCTCGCCCTCACCTTCCTGAGGCCTGTGGTTGCTCCAAGGCAGGTCTTCATATTCTTTCAAGGAGCCCCGAGACCCCCCTGCAGTACTAGCCAAGCTGGGTTTTGATGGTGGTTTGATCTTGATGACCATGCTCTGATCTGAACTGAGCTGGACCTGCCTCTCCAGGACATATTGCTGGGGGTTGGGATCAGGGCTGCCTCCAGCCCCAAGGGTCAGCTGCGCAGCACAGTCACCGGGCAGGTCCAAGGATCCCAGGGGCCGATTCACAAGGGAGTACTTCTTGCGCCATGCAGGCCCATGGCTAGAGGAGAAGCCCCTCCGGCTTGGACGAGGGTAGCGAGCACCGAAAGCCCTGCTGCTGTTGTAGGCTGGTGGCTGCCACCGGGCAGTGGCTGAGGTACCTGGGGCAGGGGCATTGCCATGGAGGTTTTTGTAGTCATCAATCAAACCTAGAAGACAGAATCATAGGCTTAACCAGAGGATCAGAGTAAAATCAGCAATAGTTCCCTGGAGAAGCATCAGTTGACAAGACACCTCCCAGACTCCATCTCTCTCCTGAGCCCCTCTGCGTCTGAGCATCACTGACAATTTCACCTAGATCTCTTAGGCCTGTCTTTTCCATGAGCTTTTTCCCATCAGTTCTACTTTAGTCCTATTTCTGGTTGCCTATCCTGAAAATGTACCCTTGTGGCATAATATTCCCTATTTGCTAGGAATATTATTCTGGGTCTACAATCCTTTGAGGAGCAGTGTCACTCGATATGAAGAAACCAGCAAGGCCCCACATTGCAAATGTCTCAGTAAGAGGGGGCCAGCCAGCCAGCCACAGAGGCACCTCTGGCTTGGTCACCAATGCAAAGGAGGCAAGATCTTCCTCCCTGCCTGTTACACAGGACAATGAGTGTAAGATGACTGACAGCCCTGGGCACTCAACACTTGACAAGAATATCTCACAGTCCTCCCCTCAGATGAGAGGCCTGATCAGCCTGAGCCCCAGGGCACTGGACTGACACAACCACCACAGGGCCTTTCCAAGGAAGCCCCTGGATAGCTGTCCTGGTGCAGGAAGGGCACAGGCCTTGGCTGAAACAACCCAGGGCTCCAGGACACGACAGCTCAACTAACGATTAGAGGCCAGCCCCTCCCTCCCTTTACGACACTCTCCCAACACAGGTCCTGCCCCCAGACCCAAAGCAAGCCCAGCCGCGTCCAGACCTAGTGACACCTCAGGGCAGGTATGATGGAAGCCCAAGAAGTGGCTCAAAGGAGGGGCCAGCATACGGAGACTCTCTCCCATACACACTTCCCAAGTCCTTAAGTCTTCGCTTTGTGGGAATAGCTTTAAAGGGGATTTTATTTTTTTAAGTATAGAGACGGGTCTAAAAATGGAAAAGTTTGGAAACTGAGGCCTGGGGAGTCTGGGTCTGGAAAATGAAGGGGAGTGTGGCTGTACGGAGGGATGGAGTGTCCAAACCGGGCGTCGGGGTAGAAACACAGCGCCCTAACCGCAGCGAGCTTCGCCACCCGCACNAAGGGCCGCGTTAGGCCCGGAAGCCCCTCCGGGTCCCCACCTCCTGCCTGGCCCGACCTACTTTGGCACCCGACCTGGCTGGGGAGACCGCGGGCGGAGAGCGACCCCCGTGAGGTCAGGGGACAGAAAGGGGCCGCGACCACAGCCCGGCCCGACTCACCCTGCAGGAGGCGGATCTGCTGCCGTAACAG